TGGCCCCAGTGAGGCAATGCCTAATGTTATAACCACATATAGATATGCTTATTGTATTTGTATCATCTACATACAAATTTGACTCAGTTAAACCCATTGCTACAGTTAGTGAATTCAGAGTGTTACTAAAGCTGCAGAGTATATCAATGTGATATGGTAAAGAAGCAACGTTGAGATGAATACAAAGATCTGAATTAGGATTAATTTTTGAATTGAAATCTATAGCGTCAGGGTATTTAAAATTAATTAAATCTTGAGGATTATTTAGATCTGAAATTGAATTTCGTAGACGTGATGTAGTGTCAAGAGAATATAGCAAATTAGTATTTTTGTGCAATAATGTTTGGTCAAAATTAAGGGCAGAAAGAGAGCCAAATTGGATATATTTAGATAGCATAATAAGGTATTAGGAGTGTAAAATAATTTGGTTATATTTAGTATGTTTTTAGGAAAAAAAAAAGAGTTTCTTAGATGAAATCTAGCTTGTAAACATTAATGTAAAAAAGTAGCAATTATAAAGAAATGAGAGATAATAATGCCGTAGCTATATCATATAACTTAAAACATTAGCCACTAAGTATGCATCAATAATTATAATAAAAAGTAAAAAATAGTATATAGCAATAACTATAATAAAAAAAAGCAATAAACAATACATTAAAAAGAAAAATAAGTAATTCGCGTACATAAACAACAATATGATGACAATAGACATAGCAAAATATCATGGAAGTAGTAATGATAAATGAATATTAAGGTAGTACACTTAATATAAATACACTTATAATAATTCAGAACAATAAGTACTTAAGTAGGTAAAAAGTTAGAAAGAAAATTAACTAAAATTTAAAATAAAATCAGTAAACAAGCAAACTCTTCCAAAAAGAGTAAGAGGTCTCAAATAACAAATAAATAAATACTCTGAAATAGCAAGTAAAAAAATCTTCTTGATATTTTAGCTTCTCTACTTGATCTTGCTTCTTTTCTTCTTGACTGATTAAATTTTTTTGTTCAATAAATTGCATCAATCACTCAAGTAATTTTATCTAGTTTCCAACTTTTAAATGATAAAATTCCAAGTTTTAAAGTTAAGAAATTCAAGTTTTGAAGTTAAGAATTTCGAGTTTTAACGAATCTGAGTTTTAACTTTTGAATGATTGGATTTTAAGCTTCCAAACTATAAGAACTTATTTTATTAATTTAAAATTTGCAATTTTAAATTATTAAAATTAGTTCCTATAATAAAAAGATATTATTTAATTTTCATGAAAATCCAAATTAAGTATGCAATTGCCAACAAACCACCTTATGCCCAATCAATGGAAAATGCCTTACAAAAAATCTTATTTATATTTGCAACGTAAAAACTCACCAAGAAGAAGAATGATATTATTAGTTTAGGCTAACAACCTATATAAAGAGTTTTTATCTTTATATAGGTGGTAAAAAGATAAAAACTCTTTCGTTTATGAAAATAAGGCCAACTCTACTGAACTTTCAAAATTTGTGTGGGAATGCAAAGATTTATCTTTATAGATAAATCTTTGCATTCTTTGCTATAGAACTTGTATTAAAATGGAATATGCTTGATTATTTATACAGGTTATTAGCCTAACCTAATAAAACCCTTTTTCTTCTTTGTGAGTTTTTACGTTGCAAATATAAATAAGATTTTTTGTTAGGCATTTTCCATTGAGTGGGCATAAGGTGGTTTGTTGGCAATTGCATACTTTTTATGAATATTAAATAATATCTTTTTATTATGAGAAGTAATAACACTCTTGATATTTGGAAAGCAGCTATAACTAACTTTTAAGTTGTTCCGATTAAAAAGTTTGTGAAGTTTGTGGCTTTTAGGGAAATATATTCCAATAGTACTCAAAAATCTTTTAGCTAGTTTATTCTGACGTTGAGCGAATAAGGTGGGTTAAACCAGATATTGTCTTTTTTTCTAGATTTTATACTATATTTCTTAATATTGGGAATGAAATTGATCTTATCTTTGAATCCATAAGAATTGATAGCGTTATTATAAAATGGTGCGGCTGTATCAAAAGCTTTTTTACTTGATGATATATTACTGATGCGATTAGAGATCATTTTTGGTATTAATTTAATAACGCTTTGTGTATGATTGGAATTAACATTAATATATAAAGGACTCATGGTTTAAGGTTTAAAATAGTTCTCAGAAAGGTTAAATGCGATATCTAGAAAGTTTTTAACTTTGGTCTCACAGTGATGTTAAGATTGAAATTGTCATATAAATTTTTTATTAGATTTTTTTTTTATTTTTTCCGATTGAAGACCACTACAATCGGAAACAATTGAATTCAAACTATAAGATAGTTGATGTAGCAACACTCCCTTGTAGCAGCAGGTTATAAAATAGTCGATGTAGCAGCAATCCCTTGTAGCAGCAGGTTATATTAAATAAATGTATGTACTAAAGCCAATCAATATTCTTTATATTTATATTAAAGTCAGTACTTTGAGCAAGTATTGCAGCAAGCAAAAAAATAAAACTATTTTACGCCGCTTAACTGCAAATTTACTACAAAGACATAACCGACTGTGACTATTTTTTTTAAATCAACCAAAACCTAACAGTATCAGATATTTATAACTTTAACCTATAAATAATGAATATTATAAATATTATAAATATTATAAATTTATATTTATAATATTTTGCCAAAGCTTCACTTATTTATGATATTTTGCTAGGATGGCTTCTGCAAAAAAAAAAAAAAAGCTTTACATTTCCTCACCTATTTTTCAAATAAATATCTAACTCCGTAAAAAATAATTAGATATCTATGCAGCACTCCCTCATTGCAACAGGCTATAAGATATTTGATGTAGCAGCACTCCTTTGTAGCAGCAGGCTATAAGATAGTGGATGTATGTAAATCAAGACATGGTATCATTATCTAGTAAGTTCCGCAGCGAGGTGGGTTTATACAAAACACTGTTAGTACCTTTGTACTTAGGTTTGCCATAAGTACAAAGTATTGAATAGCATTGTCTTGAGAATTTAAAAGTGTCAAAAACGATTCTGCTTTTTCAGAGTTAGAAAAAACTTGCATGGCAGTCATCAACATATCGTTTAAATGTTATTGGCGCAACATTAATGGTTAATGCTTGTTGAATTGCATTATATTCAATATGTTGTAAGTAAGCTTCAGAAAGGGTTTAGGTTTGCCATAAGTTTTGAGAGTGGAATTAGAAGAAAAGTTCTTTGCAAATATCCCTGGGAGAGGCAAAAAAATTAATCTAATGAATGAGATATGGAATGTTAGACCTTCCTTTGTTAACAACGCTGTTAAAGATTTTTTAAGTCTCTATAGCCTAACTTCTGAGATAAGATACCAGATTTAGTGAATTAAGAATAATGGAGCTTAGCATCAAAATATAGATAATTTATTATTTGTATTTGAAGAAAACAAAGTCTTTTTGCTATAGATATACTTTTGTTTGGACACTGTATATTTAATTTTTGTTTTGATTTGCTTATCTATAGCTTCAACGTCATCTTTTTCTAAAGCTAATTTATGGTGGCTAAGTTTGGCTTTTGTATTTTTTTGTTAAAACTATTTTATTTTTTGTTAAGTTATGTTTTTCTATAGCTGTATTTTTTTGGCTTATATTTTTTTCTCAAGTTATATATTTTGTTAAAATATATTTGGCCTACTATTTTTCGGACTTGTAAGCAACAAGTCCGGCCGTGTATTTAAGTAGGCCATGGTTACATAAGTTACATAATCATTATTTTCATCAATTTTTATTTTTCCAAACTTAAAATGTTTCTATTTTCATGTTTTTTCGAAATTTTTTTACAAGTTTTTTCTTGTTAAGTTGGTATCAGCGTTTCAGACTATTTTTTTATAATATTTTTATGACTTTTAGATTTTATATTATGATGATATTTTTTTATAACTTTTAGATTTTATATTATGTTAATATATTTTTTTTAATTTTCAAATTCAAATTAAATAGTTGTCAATTTTTTTATTTTTTATCTTTCTAGAAAGAAGATGAAAAGGAAAAATGAAAAGAAGCGCATAAATTTCATTTCGATACTTTGTAGTTTAATGAAAACTGTATGTAAATCGTGTCTTTCATCATGTCATCCTGTCATCTCTTTCATCCTGTCATTAGGAAAATCAAATAACAAGAAAATCAGAAAATTGAAGTTCTTTTTTTTGAGAATTTTATGTTAAAAAAGACGAAATTATGTTGTTTTGTTTTTTGTATATTATTTTATTAATAATATTTATAAATATATATATATATATATATATATATATATATATATATATATATATATATATATATATATATACATATATATATATGTATATATATATATATATATATATATATATATATATATATATATATATATATATATATATATATATATATATATATATATATATATATATATATATATAGATATATATATATATATTTATATATATTTATATATATTCATAATTAATACCCTGTTTTTTTTTTCCTAAAAAATGACTCAAAGGACTAAATTTTTTTTTGATAATCAACTATGTTCGCATTTTTAATAATTTTCCTGTGTAATTTTGTTTAATAAAACTTAATTGATTTTTTATTTTTTAAAAAAAGCTCATGTTTGATTCATCCCTCCCTCCACCATAACCCCTTTAATGTGTTTTTGTTCTAAAATAATACTTAATATACTCCTTTTATATATCTATTAATTGTATCCAAAATAATTAACTATTAATATAATTTCAAATAGTTTTATAACAAATAAAAATAAAAGTTTATTAAAAATAAATTCTCACCTTGTTTATTACTCCCCCCCCCCCCCTATCAGTTCTAATAATACCCTTGTCGTATAATTTTTTTCTGCCAAAGTATGGAACTTTATAAACTCTAATTTTTATTAAAAAAAATTTGATAAATACTCAATTATTAAACAAAGGCGCAAAGAAATGATTGGTGTAAATTATTAATATTAAAGCACAATGGGAATAAGTACTAAGAAATTCAAAATCTCAGTTTTTTAAAATTATAACAACAAAATAACAATATTTTAAAGGTATAATAAAAAAAAGATTGAAAAGCATATTTTCAATATGTTTTTTTATGCGAGGGAAAACTTTTCGTTGGTGATCTATTGCAGGTAAAAGAAATTTTTCTGTTTTTTTTTTTTTTGAAATTTTTTTCTGCTCTTTATCTTTCATAATAGATGTTGCATAATCTTGAATTAGTTTAACAGCTCGTTCTGCTGTTTCGTTTACAGATCTCAGTGATTTGATATGCTCAAACACGTGATTAAAGTTTGTTTTAGGTTTCCAAAACTTTAGGATTTTACCAAGCAACCACCGTCATCATTTGAATATCCGAATAAATTTAGAATGTTGGTTGATTTTAGTCCAATTAAATCAGTCAAACAAGTACTCTGCTTTAAAAGAGGAAATTGTGGAAAGCCTATATCATGTTCACAGTTTTTTTTTATACCTTTCAGGATTAGCAATTTTTAGCAATTTTAGTTTTGTCACGTTCAGATTCTTTATCAGAAAATAATGAAAAAAGGGCATTTCTACGGTTAAATACCAAAGATGCCAATTAAACTTTTTCAGAGCAGCAACAGCAACATCATTTTCAATTTGTTTTACAAATAATCATTTCTTTGTAGAATTCCAAGTCATTAAATAAGAGATTGACTGTGCTTGTAAACGTAAGGCATATTTTCACATAAAATAGAAAAGTACATTTACAAAACCGTGACAATTTCTCTATAAAACTTTCTTCATGCTTTGCAAGGTCAGCAAAAGCAAACATTTTTGATGTATACAAGATTGTACACATCCATCTAACATAAAAGAAAGCTCCAGGTTTGTGCCACTGTATATTTATTTGTTTTAGATTAAGTAATTGCAAAGCATGTTGACAACATTCTCGATAATCATCTCTTGAGAATTCCTGTTAAGTAAACAGATAAAAAATGATTACTTCTGCTTGTTTCGTTTTTAATACTGGTTCTTCAATTTTTATTTTTCTAAAAATAGTAATATTTTAGAAAATTTTTCAAAAATTTTCTCAAATACTTTTTATATATGCTGTTATATCTATAAATAAAAAGTAACAATAAATTATAAAATTATTTAAATAATGTGTACAACATTATTATTCACCATATAAAAATTTCTTTTCTCAAACATTGTGAATAATATTATTTAATAATTTTTGAGAAGCATTGAATTCAAACAAATTATATTTACTATTATTAGCTATGATACATAATTTAAATTTATAATCAATTTTGATACATATCATATTTAATTGCAATAATACATTTATATTAGGCTTAAAATCAGTTTAAAAGTAAATAATTTTGAAATTTGTGGGCGGCAGAGGAGGTGAAAACTACAAAAAAAGGTGTTGAGGGGTTGGGGGAAATGGGTCAACCTTCAAAATTTTTCAAAAATTTTTTTATTTTCACTTTTAATCTATATCTATTCTATATCCATATCTGTATGTATATCTATATCTATATATATATATATATATATATATATATATATATATATATATATATATATATATATATATATATATATATATCATATATATATATATATATATATATATATACATATATATATATATATATATATATATATATATATATATATATATATATATATATATATATATATATATATATATATATATATATACATATATATATATATATATATATATATATATATATATATATATATATATATATATATATATATATATATATATATATATATATATATATATATATATATATATATATATATATATATATATATACATATATATATTTTTAACAAATAAATATTGATATAGATACTTGAAAGTTTATTTAAAATATACCTTTAGTTCTAAAATAAATATATTTAAGTCAATTTTATGGTTCCAAAAGTTACGGTTTTTCTAATCAACGCATGATAAAAAAGTACCATTGTAAAATGTTATTTTACCCATGTTTTTTTTTTGCATATTTCAAAATATTCAAATGTGATAATGTAACTAATACGTTCAATTTGTTGTTGGTAAGATTTTTTACTATAAAAAACATATATGTTTTAAAAAAATAATGAAAGAACTTATACAAATTTTATGTAAAAGTTTGGACGCTAAGTGTAACTTTTCTTGGAAATGAATTGGACATTACAAAAACTATTTAAATAGTTAACATTGATATCTTGGATGAGAAAAGCTTTACGTACCTTTCTGAAAGTGCTTAAAGGGTCACATTTAGGCCCTTATTTGCTACTGATGACGTCATTTTGACATTTTTTCAGAAAATCAAACTAAATAAAACATATTTTCGTCAAAAGTTAGATAAACTCTTGAGAAAACCTTATAATAAATAACAAAATCTTGAAAAAAACTTACGTGTCTTTCTGAAAGTGCTTAAAGAGCCAAATTTGGGGCATTATTTGGTACTGATGACGGCTCGCTGGTCAACTTTTTTTTATCAAACTAAAAAATATATATTTACGTCAAAGGTTATATAATTTCTTGAGAAAACCTTATAATAAATAATAACCCCTTTAGAAAAACTTACGAGCTATTCTAATAGTGCTTAAAGGGTCAAATTTAACCCTTGTTTGGTACTGATGACGTAATGCTAATAATTTTTTCAAATTTCGCGAAAAAAAAAAATTTAGTGAACAGATTTTTAAAAAGGAAAATTTGAATCAGTTGAATAATATTTTGTCTCAGATTCGTCCCAATTATTTGTGTTTTCACAAGTCAAACAGTTGCGTACAAGTCAATCCATGCAATCAACCCGTGTTTCACATTTTGACTTTTTACACGAATAGGAATTAACTGTTGATTGCCAATTTCTCGCCATCCATATCCATTGGGTTTTGGAATATTGAGATTTGCCTCCACTGAATGTTTGACAATTGCTGTTTGATACGAAACTCTCTTGCAATGACATATAAGAGCATCTCTAGTTGAAGAAACTTTTAAGGTTCTGTAGCTTCTTTCTTGGCAATAAACTTAAGGTATCTTTCTTCGTTCGTATCACTGCATTATAATTTTTATAACTGACATATAAACTTATTGATTTGGTCAAAATGGGTTACATCAAAGGTATAAGAGTCCCCAACCTTGGAAAAATTGACTTGTACTCTTCAGTCTTTCAGTAGAGACGCCAATATCCACAAATAATTCTATTTAAAGTTGGTTTTGAAAGTACAAAGCGTAAATAGCAATATCTGTGTCAACCGTGTGACTGCAAACGGTTTCGAAACCAATAGATGCATTATATATAGGCAGTTTAAAGTATGTTTTTTTAAAAGACAAAAGCTCGCTGCGATTCTTTTGTGCGACATGATGGATAAGCTGTTCAATCGGTTTTGGATTATTCTTATTTTTTAAATTCTCAATCTTTTTTTAAAAAACTTCAACCCTTTTTCCCATCTCAATGGTATTGCTGCATAAGAAAAAACACCCAATTTTGGTAACCACAACTGAACAGACCCGCAAGTTCTGCAACTACAGCATCCTTCGAAGTCCTTTTATCTAGAACCTTTACTCTATTTGTGCAGTTTTCCTCCTAAAATTCAAATAGCTTACTTGTATGAGTAATCTTTAAATTGTCTAATACATGTTCTGTCACATAGTCGAAAAGCAAACGCATAATTGCATCTTCTGTTAAAATAAAAGGAACTTTTTGGGGTCTTGTATAGTTAATGTAACAAGACCGATCATAATATAACTCTAAGGAAACTATGGTTTGCCCAATATACTAGCTGGGTTTTCAGCTTTATTTAAGCGTTTTTTTTTAACATGTTTGCTGCACTTTCTGTTACGAATTTTGCCCAGTAGGCACGGACATAAAAAAGGCGTTTTCAAACGTCTTTTTTTTTTTACTCGTTTTGGACTTCTTTTGAACGTCTTTTGAACGTTTTGGACGTCTTTTAAACGTTCAAAAGACGTCTTTTTTAGGTCCGGTGCCCATTAGGTGTAAGCGTTTTATATCCATTCCTATATTTATTAGTCTTTTTGCAATAGCAAATGCAACACTTTTAATCAGCAATAATTTTTCATGAAACAAAGGAATTATTTTAATTTTGAAGTAGTACATAAAACATAAAAAAAAACGTGAAAACTGAGGGTAATATTCTTTGCTTTGCATTTCACACTCAGAGGTTTTTTAATTTACTTGATCTATATCTTTTCCGAGCTGAAATTCTGCGCTTAAATGAGGATGCATTATCCAAGTCTACACTCTCGTTGACTTTTTCTGCTCTATTTTTCCGATGTTATAAAATTTTTAATGTTTTTATATTCACATACTTATCGTAACATCTTTAATGAAATAAGAAAGTTGTTGGGCACGTATCAGCAGGTCCGTATCCAGCATTATTTGGTCTTCGAGATTTTTGACCATATAAAGTTTAAACCCCCTCAATTTGAGGTGGTTGCAAATTTTATATTGTTATAATTATTGATCGCTTGGTTTATAAGTCTAGTTAAAAGTAGTACAAAAATATCTCATCAACTTGTTGCTCTCACGTTTGGGGCAAAGGAAGCTCAAATTTTGGGGCTTTTGTGTTACCAAGCTCCAATCATCGTAATTTTTTGCAAAGCATCCTTATTTGACATAAGTATAAACATATAATAATATAAACATATGTTTGGAATTTGCTCCATGTCTAAAAATTAGATATCTTGAAGATCAAAAAATGCTGGATACGGACCTGAATTTCAGGTAGAATGTTTATGATTTTAAAGTTTCGAATTTGACGATAGTAAAAAAAATATATAATTATCAAATTTACGCTATTTATTGTTTTTCCGTACCATTGTTTAAGACATATATAAAAAAATAAATTGAGTTTTATATTTAGTTTGTGACTTACCAAGCATTGTAAGTCACAATGCTTGGTTTGTAAGTCGCAATGCACAAGTCTTTACTTTCGCAAGCGCATTTTCAGTAAAACCACCCAGTTTGTTATTATTACAACCAACTTCACCTTGATGAAGTATACAAGCATTTTTAATTTCTTTTTTAAGAACCGGATTAAAATGCAGCACTTTTTGGCTACTCGCCATTATTTAGTTTTATAATAATAAAAAAATAAAAATAAAACACGTTTTTTTAGTTTTATGTTTTATATTTTTGCCACAACCGTTTCTTTTAAAATGATTGCAGTTTGTTATGCAAATATTTTGTTTTATTTATAAAAATGACTTGATTTTTTTCTTTTATTTATGACGGTAATTCTTTACTTTGATTTTTTTCTTTTATTTATGACGGTAATTCTTTACTTTTAAAAAGAACTTTGATAACATAAAAAAAATCAAATAGTTTTTGAAAAGTAAACATTTTTTAACGTAAACAAAAAACGGGAACATTGTTTATTTTTAGATTTATTAAATTGAAATTATTTTATATTTTAAATACAATATTATCAAGCTGCTTATCGCCAGCGTGATTCCGAACGGAAAAAAAAATATGAATACCGATCACCAAAAAACTCATCGAAAACGAAAAAAACAATATCCGGAAGAAAAATTAAAGAAAGAAAAAAAAACGAAAGAGTCCAAAAATATCGACTCAAAAAAAAAGGTTCTACACCTTTTTCCAAATTTTTTTTTTATGAGTGTTCAAACAACAGGGAAATTAGTCAAGATAGTCCAAAAAACATTGCCCAAAAATCTGTCACAACGTTACAAAGTCTTAGCCACATTGCTGAATGAATCATTCAATAAAGAAACTGAAGTATAATTAAAAATAAAAAGGTTCTACTGCAAAGATGACATTAATTGACTTTCACCAAATGTTAGGAACTTTGTCTCAATAATTGAAAATGGAAAGAAGATTAAGATCCAAGTTCGTCACCCTCTTTTAACCCTTAAAGAAGTGTACTAGCTTTTTAAACACGATTACTTAGATATCAAGATTGGATTAAGCAGGTTTGGTGAACTACGACCAGTAAACGTTCGATCTATTGCAAGTTTGCCTCATAACGTTTGCGTTTGTATTTACCACAAAAATATGCGATTTGCTTTGGAATCCTTAGTGAAAGTTAAACACTTACTGTTGTCTAAGATTATAATTGGGAAAGATATATCTCAAAATTTCATTTGTAAGGACTCGTTAAATAATTATTTCTTCAACAAATGCAACAAATGCGAAGATCTGAAGTTTTTCCAGCAACTCTTGACCACCATTGAAGCACTCAACTTTAAAACAAGTTGGTACCAATGGCAAAAACCAATTATAAAGCGTTACGCTATAATTGAAAAAGTTAAAAAGTTTGGAAGTGAAAAGAATTGATTGCTCACATTATGAATATGAGAGGAAAGTTCACAACTCAAACCAATATTAAAGGTAACCAATCTGAATGTTTTAAACTAAGCATTACTAAATTCATGAATGCATCACCAAATGTTGATGTCAGGTTGACTATGCAGAACATTTTAGGTGTTTTTGTCAAAATGAGCCTCAAACAGCACACTATGGCCAAATTCAAATTTCTCTTTTCACTGCAGCAATTTGGTAAAAAAATCTTAAAACTTTCACCATTGCATCTGACTCTCTGGATCACACAAATGCCCCCTTAATTGCAAGTTTGGATAAGTTGTTAGAGTTCATTTCATTTAATACCCAAGAAATTCACATTTTGAGCGATAATGCTACGTCGTAGTTTAAAAATAAAGTCGTGATTAATTCTTTCGTTCAAACAGCATCTAAACCTTTTTTCTTTATTTTCTCGCTTATGAAGTTTCTCCTGTTTCTTCTAAACTATTTAATCTCTTAATCGCTACGAGTATATTCTCAAGAGCTATCCAACGTACTTTTAGTAAATAATTTGTTTTAAATATTGAAAAAAAATAAAAAAATAACCGCAAAACTTAATGTGTTTTTTTTTTACAATATTACTTTAAAAAATATAAAAATAATTTTTACAAAAAAGATTACTGATAAACTTAAACAAAAATCCTTTTTAGACTATTTTTTATGTTTAATGTGCATTTCAAAAAAAAAGGAAATGAAAAGTTTAATGTGGTTTTCAACCCATATTTGTTATTTATCATTTAAAGATAAATGACATTCTTTGCATTCTAAATTATTTTGAATCCCCAAGTTGGTTACACGCTTTTATACTTGAACACTTTTCATTTGATATAATAATCGCTTTTTTTTTATTAAGATTCACTTCTATAAAATTATTTCTCAGCGTCGTTCCATAAATCAATGTGGTGTTTAAATCATATCCAATTACATCCATGACTTGAATTGGAAGAACTAAAAAAATGAACAGAACCATTTTTATTTTTGTCTTAATCATTGTTATTTTATATGTAAAGTATGCTTACATGTAACTATTCCAGATTTTATTTCTTGTTGATAACATGGAGTTTGTTGTCTAAAAATGTATCTAAATATATTTGATATTCGTAAAGTACAGATGTGTGTGCGCTGGTGTGCGTGTTTCCATTTGTAATAAAATTATTTAAATCTTTTGTGATTCTAATATACTGTGTTTGAATGCAGTGATTTTAATGCTTGAATATATTTAAGTTTTTTTAAATTTTTAAAACTTCTTTTATCGGAAACAAAAATTTCGCAAAAAAAAGCATGATGAAACCAATTTGAAAGCTAAGTACAAAACTTTAAATGAATTTGAAAGGAGATAATAGAAAAAGTATGTGGGAAACCAGTTAAGCATTTCCGGTATTGAAAGAAACTCGCCACGTAAAATAAAAAATTCATGTTTTTGAAAAAATTATAAATAAAATTTCAACAAAAGAAAACAAGTACAAAGAAAATTTTATCAAAATTTAGTTGATTTTGTTTAGATCAATGCGTGGTAACAAAATTTTAATCGGTAGTTTTATTTATTTTATCAAAATCATTAATTTGCGATGACATTTAATTACAAAAACATTGAGGGATTTGAAGGAGAAGTAAATTATATTTTACTGGAGTTTTGGTTTATATTTCAAACGAAAATAATTTCAGAGACAAAGACTTTATATTTTTTTAAAGATATATTAAAACCTTTAAGTAGATCTCTTGAGTGTTAAAAAAGGATGCTAAATCTTATTTACCAACAATATTATCCTTGTACATCCTTACCAACATTATTTGATAAATACAATTTAGTAAATGTTTCCGATGCGTATGCTATTAGTGCTAAGAAACAGGTATATCCGGCCCTGCGTGTTACATTCTCAAGCATATTGCAAAGATACATAGCAGAGCAATCAAAAACTAGTAAACAAAAGCAACTTAAATATACTGTTCAAAGTTTGACGACAAAATATAATCAGATATTAACACGGGCGACCTGAGGATTTTCTGCTGGTAGGGTCACTTGATGTTTTAACTCTTTGGATGACAAATCATTGAAAAATGATCAATTGTTTATAAGTTATGGTAAAATGTTAAATAAATGTACAATTAAAGTTTTGTTTTGGGTGTTTGAAATATAATGCAGTTTTATTATAACAAAATAACAAGCCGTAGCTCAGCTGTATATGCGCGAAAATGCGTACATTTACAACTCAACTGGTGTGGGTCTCAATAGATTTCTGCCTAAACTCAGTCTTGTTTTGTTTGTATAATTGAAATAAAAGTTTATCAAAATACAACCCCAACCACAAAATACAACTTTCGTCAGCGATGATTCACAGAGTCCTATAAAAACACTCTAATGACTGTGCATGTTTTTTTGGTAAAGTCAGTGCAATAAGAAAAGCATGAATAACAGCTGGGGAAAAATCAATCTACAAATAAATAAGTTGCAAATACATCTTTTTCTTTAATTGTTCATAAGTGCGCCAAAAATCAAACCAATTTATTGAATTGAGGTTGAAGTTATCAATACCGTACATACAAATTATAACAGTTACATTTGAAGTAGACTTAATTTGACAAAAGAGGTTATTATAACATGACTTTAATTTAGAAAGTCATGTTATAATGACAAAAGAAGTCATTATAACATGAATTTCTAAATGACTGAAAATATAGAATTTTATTATTATAGAAATGATTAATAAAAAGCTCTTTGCTTTTTCCTTAATAGCTACTAAGATTTCTCATAAAGTACTTGTTGTCTACATAAGAGGGAGATTTTCATTGACTTTGTTAGTGAAATAACTTGAGTATAAACATCTTTCATATTATCTTTTATATCACAAAAAAAAAAAAAATTATACTTTTTTCATGAGAATAAACAATCATTTGCAAATAAAATAAAGTTTAATATGTTTGATGTTGAAGATAAATCATTAATGTATAGTAAGAAAAGTAAAGGTCCTAGTATAGAACCCTGTAAAACTCATTAGGTTATAGGAATTATGGTTGTTTCTATATTATTACCTAGTACGTATATTTTACTGTTCGACAACAAACTTTAAAACCAATGTAAATTTGATTCATTTAATTTGTAATAATGAATGATTTGTCGAAAACTCTCGACAGATCAATAAAAGCTCCTAATATAAAGCAGTCTTCTTTAAAGGTATTAGGTAAATGGTTAACTAGTTCTACTATTGCGTGATCAGTTGAGTATGATTGAAAACAACATTGAATATATTAAATACAACATTTTATTTTCAAAAAAATAATTATGCAGTACATTATACAATCAAGAGATTTAGAAAAACACGATTAGGCAAAAATTGGCCTGTAATTTGAGCATCTAACTCATCTTCAGCCTTTAAATTTGAGTGACTTGTGCCATTTTTTAAATAATCTGGAACTATACCTGAGATAAAAGATAAATTAAAATTGGTAATAAGGATGGTTCAATTACATCATAGACTAATTTTAATATATTAACGTAAGTTTCATCTGATCCTGCATTTTTTTATTTTTTAGACTTAAAAAGACAGGTCGCAAATCAATTATATCTAGCATTGATTCTTTTATTTTTTTATTAGAAGTTATTATATAGGAATCAAATGTTAGTGAAGTTGTAGGAATCTTTTGTGCCAAGTTAGAGCTAACATCAACAAAAAAGTTATTCAATTTTTCAGCTACTAGCACTTTATCACAATTTAAGTTACCGTCAAATAAGAGTTTTTTAGTCAAACATTATTTTTATATTCATTTTGGCTAATTTTTCTTTAATCGCATTTCATGTTTATTGTGAATTATCTTTAGATTTTTCCATTATTTCAGAGTAGCATTTTTTTTTTAATATTGTTTTATTCAAAAATATATATATATAGTCTTTAAATTTAATTACATTTAAATAAAATTTATATTGCAAAGCTTTTTCATAATATTTTTTTTTTCCTTGACGATTTTAGTAGACCTTTTGTTTTCCAAATAGATGAAAGTGATTTTGAATTTATACAGAACCTTTTTAGAGGAAATGCTTTATTGTGTTTTTTACATATTGCGATAGAAAACGTTAATAAACATTATTAGCATTGTTATATTGAAGAACCAGATCCCAATCAACTCAGTTGATTAGAAGGCTGAGAAACTGTTATGTGTGAGTTTTTATTGATCTGTCATTTAAATATTAAATGTTTAAGACAGCATTAATAGCTATTAGGCTGTTTGTAAAAAAATGTTGAAAAATGATGAACAAAATTATTTTTTATTAGGCCTGTACTAGAGCAGTTATAAAAAAAGATTATTAATTATGGTATCGAGTAGAGTAATAGAACCTTTTGTGACTTTGTTTGGTTATTTTTGGAATGAATATTAAACGGTTCGCATGTTTCTGACGGCGATAAAGGCGATAAATTTTAACTTACTGTCTTCAGTGCTTTCCCATGCCATATTAGCATAATTTAAATAACTATGCGTTTTCCATGTGATATTTTTATCAAGAAAAACACCTAAGAACTTTGTTACATTATGTCTTTTTATTTCAACATCATCAATAAAAATTTTAGGTAAACTTCGGGGTAAATAATCTTTTTTAGGTACTAGATGGAAAAGAACCTAATTTATTTTTTTTATTGTTAAGAGTTAGTTTGTTGCATTTAAACCGTTTGGATATACTTTTAAGTTCACCATTCATAGTATAGAAGAGTTTGCAAATGTCATTATAGGAAAATAGTAAGTTAGTGTCATCAGCAAACATGATATTCATTAAATTCAAAACTTTATTTAAATTACTTATGTAAATCAATAACAATAGTGGTCCCAAAATGGAATCATTTAGAACGCCACATGAAATATTTAGAAACTTATTTGGATGATCATTTTTGGTAAAAACAAATTGTTTATGGTTGGGTAGATAACTTTTGAACCACTTTATAACTTTGCAATTTATTCTATAATAATGTAGCATTTGTGATAAAATTTCATGATCGACAGTATCAAATGTTTTTGAAAGGTCAATGAAAACACCTAATGTTTATTTAGACTTTTCAAAAGAAATAGAAATTTCGCATACAAATTGGATAACTGCATGTTCTTTGGAATTATTTCTTATAGGGCCGTATTGATAGTTGTATAAAATAATATTAGAATGAAGATAATTGTATAACCTATTGTACATAATACGTTTTAGTAAATGTGGAAAGGACAGAGGTAGGGCCATAATTACTGATGTTTGTTTGATCACCATCATTTAAAACTGGAGTAACTTTAGCAACTTTTAATTGTTCAGGAAAAACTCTTTCGCTGATAAATTTTAATAGAATTTATCAATTCTGTCCGTTAATACTTTTAAGTTAGTACTCATAATTGATGCAAAATTTTTTTCTCGTTCTCTTAACAACTTCCTTGTTTCTTTCAGAATAGATTTTTTTTGTTCTTCTAATTTGTTGATAATTATTTTTTCTATGTTTTTAATTAAGTTTTCCATATTTTTATAGTTATTTAACACGTTGTAGAAAAAAATACGTCTGTTCGATTCGGTAACTATCTATCTAACGTACGTAAACTTTAAATTAAGTAATGTTAAAACATACTGAAATTTGAACATACTGAGTTTGTATATAATATTATACAAAAAAATGACCAAATTAAAACCTAAATCTAAAGAGTTCCCTTTAACAATTGAATTTTTTAAAACTAATGTAGCTAATGTAAATTTCTGGTTCTAACATAAAACTATTCATAACAATTTCCAACTTCCTTTGAAATATTTTTGTACAGCAAGTTGGGAATTATTATAACAAAATTTTTTTGTAAAATATACTTAAAATATTTTTCAAATATTGTAAGTTAAGTTAGCATATTATAAAAATAGAGAGGTCAATGTTCTTATAAAAGCAAGCAAATATTAATTAGTAAAAACGCTTATCTAATTATCTTATATGGTTTGTTTTGCAATCAACAGGTTCTTAGCAAAATATATCTAAATGTCAAACAATTCAAATATAAAAAAACATTTCAAATATAAAAAAACATTTCAAAGAAAATTGGGTATTTGTATAAATAATTTCATAAAATATGCAGTTATGTTACAACCAGGAAGTTACGTTAGCTAAATTAGTTTTCAAAAATTTTGTAAGCTCATTTTTTTTTATAATATTTTAAAAGGCATTTGTTTTTATGTCTAGTTTAAAAATTGAATCA